GGCCCCCCGGGGCTCGGCAGCCCATGGCGGGGCCCTGCCACCGTCTTCACCACATCCCCCCTCCACGGGGGCAGTGCAAACAGCCACCCCGGTTGCCACCGACGGTACAGCAGGTTTCAGCCACCCCAGGCGGTGAGGGCACAAGTCCCGACTGGCTTCGACTTGTCCCTTGCAACGCTCCAGCCCCGTCGGTGGAAAATCCTTTTAGAAAATCTGGGGAGATGGGTAATAAAGGTTCAGTTGGTCGGAGGGGAGAGGCAGGAGCGGTACCAAGTGTGCGTACGCTCGCTGGGTCTCCATGCACGCTCGCTGCGTTTATGTGCTGGAAGCTGTAAAACGTGATTAATGAATGCGCGGCCGGGGGACGGCGTGCGTCGGAGCACTCTCTTGTTTGCAGTGTTGCCTGAAGCTTCCCTTCACTCAAACTGCGTGCGCGGCCCCGCTCCTCTGCTCATCAACCTTTTTCCTCTGCGTGTGTATCTAAATACCGAAGAGGGGCAGAGAGCTGCCAAATACTGCCATACGGTCCTTGAAAACAGCACAACTCCTGGCTAAGGCAGGTATTGCAAAGTCCGTACCTCTCCTAAAGTCACACCTCTCAACCTGGAGCTTTTGGCTCTGGCTTTGCGCCTCCCGACTCTTTATGGCATCGTTGCGTGTTTTTGTGCGAGGGTTGCGCTGGAAGTGTGTGATGCCTGAGAAAAGAGCAGAGAAACCTTTGTGGGATGATCCATGAGAAGCTTGGGACTCCAGATGTAAGTTACGGATTATCTCCCTGTAACGCTGTAGGAGGAAGGGAAGGGGAAGGGGGAGAGAGCGTGAGGCTGCAATGAAGGTGGGTGCCCAGGGAGCCAAGGGCAGGAGCGGGGCTGGGCACGGATGGAGAGGAAGAAACGAGGTGCGGGAAGGAAAGGGAAGCCACCATTTCTGAACTGAACAAAGAAAAACTATTTTCCTCCCTCTGGCGCTCCTGCCACTCGGATCTTCTGCCTGGCCCAGGCCAAGCCAGTGAGCCCTTCTGCACTGTGGGCTCTGGAAAATGGGAATATTGCTTCCCAGTCATCGCCTCCCAGTGCCGACCAGCAGTGAAGGCTGGAGCACGTCTGCTGTGAAAACAGGCTGAGAGAGTTGGGGTTGGCCAGCCTGGAGAAGAGAAGGCTCCAGGGAGACCTCAGAGCCTCTTCCAGTACCTAAAGGGGCTCCAGGAGAGCTGGGAAGGGACTCTGCATCAGGGAGGGGAGTGATGGGACAAGGGGGAACAGTTTTAAATTGAAAAAGGGGAGGTTTAGATGAGATATTAGGAGGAAATTCTTCCCTGTGCGGGTGGTGAGCCCCTGGGGCAGGTTGCCCCGAGAAGCTGTGGCTGCCCCATCCCTGGAGGGGTTCAAGGCCAGGTTGGCCGGGGCTTGGAGCAACCTGGGCTGGGGGGAGGTGTCCCTGCCCAGGGCAGGGGGTGGCACTGGCTGATCTTCAAGGTCCCTTCCAACCCAAACCATTCTATGATTCTATGATTTGACCCCAAATGCAGCCCTACAGGGACCCAGGTGGGCAGCAGCGTCCCACCAGGGCTCGGTTCTCCATCGCTCCCCTCCCCTCACTCCAAAGCGCTGAAGAAACAGGGAGCAGCACCGGCCCTTTTCATCTCCCGAGCCCAGCAGCGGGCTGAGAGACAGCTGAGAGTGGTCTGAGCTGGTGTGAGCTGGGCTGCCGGGCGGACGTGTCAAAGTCAGCCTCGGGGGAGAGAGGCAAAAGCCTTCCTAGGACATCACCAAG